AAAGCGAACAGTTACCTTATAAAACTTTTTCTTTTGACTTTAATTTAAGTTTAACTCATTAGATTCAGTAATATATTAATTTACATAATATCTTGAATGAGGGAGAAGAAAAAGTTATCACACAACCACTTTAAAAACTCTTTTTTTTGTCCAACTAGATTCTAAAACTAGTAATTTCTATTTCTTTAAAAAAAAAGATTCCAACAACAAAACGGCTTCCACAACTCCGAAAAGAGAATTTCTATATCTCGCATCTACTTAAATTGTGGGAATATGAGAATCTTTTTCATTGAATTGAAAGAATTTTCTATTGAATGGAAGATGATTTTACATCAACAAGTAAAGGAAAAAAGAAATTATTTAGTACTTACTTTTGATACTAATTCAAATTGCGTTGCTGTGTCAGAAGAAGGATAGCTATACTGATTCGGTATACTCTAAAGACGCCCTCGGTACAATATTGACGATCTCACAAAGATTAAATTTCAGTTAATTGTCATTTACTGATCTCATCTTTTACGGAATCGATCTTCTTTGACTGTACAAGAATATGTGGAGCTCAGCATGTCTGGAAGCACAGGAGAACGTTCGTTTGCTGATATTATTACCAGTATTCGATACTGGGTCATTCATAGCATTACTATACCTTCCCTATTCATTGCGGGTTGGTTATTTGTCAGCACAGGTTTAGCTTACGATGTGTTTGGAAGCCCGCGGCCAAACGAGTATTTTACAGAGAGCCGACAAGGAATTCCATTAATAACTGGCCGTTTTGATCCTTTGGAACAACTCGATGAATTTAGTAGATCGTTTTAGGAGGCCCTAATGACTATAGATCGAACCTATCCAATTTTTACAGTACGATGGTTGGCTGTTCACGGCCTAGCTGTACCTACCGTCTTTTTTTTGGGATCAATATCAGCAATGCAGTTCATCCAACGATAAACTTAATCCGAATTATAGAGCTACGACACAATCAAACCCGAACGAACAAAATGTTGAATTGAATCGTACCAGTCTCTACTGGGGGTTATTACTCATTTTTGTACTTGCTGTTTTATTTTCCAATTATTTCTTCAATTAAGAAAACGAAAGAGAATAAATAAGATTCTCTTAGCTCATTCGGAAGGATCTCATAATTTAATTATCCATGACTGTTTATGTCTCTAGCATGACCACTTGATGAAATCTGGAGGGAAGTGGGGTAAATGGCCGATACTACTGGAAGGATTCCTCTTTGGATAATAGGTACTGTAGCTGGTATTCTTGTAATCGGTTTAATAGGTATTTTCTTTTATGGTTCATATTCCGGATTGGGTTCATCCCTGTAGTAATCGACTGAATTGAGTTGTCAACATGAAAGCGTAAGAACTTAACGGGATTCCCTTCTTTGTTTGTTTGATTCGAAGGGGAAGGGCCCGTTGAGTTCTTAAGAATCATAATATTTTTTTCGTCTAAATGCTAAAACGGATTTCTTTTTCTTTTCAAAAACTCCGTTTTTCTCATTTTTCTGAGCATGTTTTTGAAAAATTCACTTCATTGAGTTAGTCAGACCACCTCTTCTTTTTATATGATAGTATCTATCGGTACTTTCAAAGTTGGAAGAAAGAAGGAAGAACTCAATTTCTTGGCTGCTATCATATATTAGATAGCGTGCAAATCCTTTCTATACTAATCTAATGTAGAACCTTACTCTCTATATTACATTACTCTATTGATTTTTTATTGTTTTCCTATTTCATCATCAAATTTTTTATAAGATAAGTTGATTGAAGAAGTTTTATTTAATTAATAAAATTTCCTCTCTTTTTTGTTTTGTTTGTCCACCAATTCATATATTATATGTAAGGGGGTAGGTGTAGGGTTTCTGATACATCTGGAAAAATTGAAACCAAGACTAGGAATTTTTAACAAACAGGATCAAGAATCATTACTCTTTCGTTTCGACACAAGAAAAAAGGATTTTTCTACACCCCTTTCTTGTGTCGAAGACTAGGAAGACAAATAATCCCTCCTAGAATTTTTTCTTCCCCGCATTTATCCCCCGCTTCCTTATGTCTAGTATTTAGACAAATTTGACTTTCTTTCTATTTAGAATAGAAAACTATTGATACGTTTTATGGCAGTGAAATCTGGCAATAGTAACATAGTTACACTACTCCAATTAAAAAAAAACTAAATCAAAATAAATGAAAGCCAAATACTCTTCTTCAAAATCTACATACTATGTGGTACAAGGGATTCCCAGCATCTCGTAGAAAAAGAGTATGTAATGTAGATTTTGAAGAAGAGTATAAATAAGACAAAGGAGTTTTCATAATTTCATTTTTTTGATCATAAATAATCGCCAACAAGAATTTGGTTCTTTTTACGTACTTGATATCGATAAATCTGCGAATCTAGAAATTCATTTCGGCCAATTGAACCTTCTCGAACTGTTTCTTTTTAAGAACCAAAAAGATTTGTGCCAAAATAACAGATGCCAAGAAGAACAAAAGTCCTTGGACACGTAATGGATCTTGAAGTACTATTTCTGCATCTCCCTGACCAAATCCGCCTACATTAGGATTACTCGTTAATGGTTGATCAAATTTGATAGATTCGCCCTCGGAAACAAGAAGTTCTGGTCCGGGAGGGATAATATCAACCACTTGACGTCCCTCCGACGCATCCGTTATGGTTATCTCATACCCCCCTTTTTCTTTTCGTATGATTTTGCTTACTATACCTGCTGCTGTAGCATTATAAACTGTATTGTTACTCTTGTTGCCGTCGGGATAAATCTGACCCCTTCCCCTGTTCCCGCCTACGTATATAGGATATTTTAAGAAGTGAACATCCTTCTTAGTAGCAGGGTCCGGGGAAAGAATAGGGAAGGTTATTTCACTATATTTTTTACCAGGGACAGGGCCTACCACAAGAATATTTGTTTTATTGGGGCGATAGCTCTGAAAAGACAAATTGCCAATCTTTTCTTTCATCTCAGGAGAAATACGATCGGGAGGAGCTAATTCAAACCCCTCCGGTAAAATAAGAACAGCTCCGACGTTCAACCCCCCTTTTTTACCATTAGCAAGAACCTGTTTCAGTTGCATATCATAAGGAATTCGAACAACTGCTTCAAATACAGTATCAGGAAGTACCGCTTGTGGAACCTCAATTTCCACGGGCTTATTAGCTAAATGGCAATTGGCACATACAATACGCCCAGTCGCTTCTCGTGGATTTTCATAACCCTGCTGTGCAAAAATGGGATATGCACTTGAAATGGACGTCCGAGTTAAGATATATATCATGAGCGATACGGAAATAGATCGAGTAATCTGTTTCTTTAGCCAAGAAAAAGCATTTCTAGTTTGCATGGTCCAATCATTGATCGCGAAAATTTCTACAATAAATTGGGTAGGTCGCTAGTATAGTTCCCTAGCCACGATTCTGCTATTTGCTGGAATAATCTAGGATGAATCTTCCCGATGGTTAGAAATAGGAAGAGTAAATATGATTTTCAATACTTTGCTTATGTACAACTACAAAGTACTAAGCATTCTAATTGGATTAGATTAATATCAATGGATCCTTTATCATTCAGTTATTGAATCATAAAGCAGTAAAATTGACGGAGACAGACTAGTTAAATAACGGAAAAGCCAATATTTAAAACATGTATCAAAAATTACTGGAAGGATGCAAACAAGAATAGTTATAGTTTGCTCATTCGCAACAACTCCAACCTCGTTATAGATAGAGCGTATAACGAATTCCCAACCTGGGGGTGAATGATATCCGAGAAAAAACTCACTTACTAGAAGAATACACAAAGCTTTTGCTGTGTCACTTAAGTTATATAGGAATTCCTGAGCCCAAGAGTTAAGAATAACAAGTTTTTCCTTACCCAAAATTGAATACCCGCTTAGAATACCAAACCAGATTATATTTGTTGAGAAGTGCAAAATCGTATCCATACGATTCTCATTTTGTATCGTGATTAATTGGATCGTTTCTTTATGGATTCCTATCCCAAACTCTTCGAGATGTGTTTCCGAGTATTCCTTGATCATTTCGTCCAAGAAGAGGAGTTCCTCTAATTCTCTGAATTTTTCTAGAAGACTCTTTTCTTGAATATTATTCAAGACAATTTGGGATTGCCCAGTATTCCACCAATTAGTAACCCAAGATTCCAGCCATTTATTAACTGAGAAAGAAATCCACCAGGGCAAAAATACTATAGATGCAAGATAGAAAAGAGGAGTGAATGCTTTCTTTTTTGCCATTTTTTCGTCTGTAAATTGTTAATCAACCCATTCGTACACTCTATGCGATCGAATATTTCTTACACACATGAGTTTTATACAAGGTATCGAACTTATGAATCTATTTTCTTTGTGATTTTGTGGTTAGTCTTTGAATCTAGAAAGAATACAGAAATAGGCTAAGAATTCACTTCGAATGAAGAAATTGAGAATATTGTTTCCTGATATCTCAATTGGTCAAATTAAAAATCAAGTGTATCCTTTCGATGAATGATCGAAAGAACCACTTTAAGTAATGAATATTATTCAGATTTTGAGACGAAAGAACTCCTTTGCTATCAAAATATCCAATATTTCGAAAAAATTTCATTGATTACCCATAGTCAGGAATAGAATAATTGAGGGAAAGATATTAGGATGATAAAAAAAAAATGACTAGCAAAGGATAAATTGGCTAGTTCTCAGTATTTAATTAAGAAATCCAATTGTTGGTCATTAAAGAATACAAAAGAAAGAATTTCAAATTTACAAGATACGATCTATCTGGATCTAAAGTGTCAATTCCAACAAATATTGAACTAAAAAAAATTCTTGCTTTCGAAATGGTTTGCCGTCTGAGATGAATCTATTATTTCGATTTGTTATTTGTTATTGAATTGCGTGCACATAAAGACCATAAAAAGAGTTTCGTTTTATGGTTCTTTCATATACGTTTTCTTTAATTGAATGAACGTTCTGATTCTCAATTTATCAAAATACTTCAATTGGTACACGCAAGAAATAGGCTAATTCAGCAGCCTTTTGTTCAATTTCTCGTGGAGTCAAATTCTCATCAGTACGGGTCAAGGGAATGGACCCCTGGCCTCGGATGTCCATATAAAGAACACGACGAGCATAAATACCCTCTTTAACTTCTATTCTAACGGACTGAATATCTTTTATAAGGAATCGGAGGAATATGCGACGATTTTTTCCCGGAAATCCCCAACGAAAGATACAGACTATTCCCTCCTTTCTATCGAATCGATCATAACCACTACCTACATTCCAGGAAATTGTGCACCACAAATAAGAGCTAATAAAGAGACCCGCAATTCCGTAGAAAGACATCACGATTCCTTGTGGAAAAAAAATGATTTGCTGAGGCGGAAAAAAAGATAGCAAATTTCTACCAAGATAACTGGAAGTTCCAACTAATAAGAAGCCTAATGAACCTAAAAAAAGGATCAAGGCCCAGCAGAAATTACTTATTTTTCGAGACCCCGTTATAAGTTCTATCCATATATCGTCTGATCGCCAAGTCATACTTTACTCGATTGCATTTTATTGGAATTGAGATAATACCCCAGAAAAATTTGACTTTACTTTTTTGTTTCCGAAGTAACTCTCATCAACTAGCACTAGTTTGAGGTGAACTAGCACTAGTTTGATGTCAACCTTTAGGAGTAATTCATCAAATTGGTTAAATCTAAAATAATAACATACTCTTTATTTAATACGATCCCACTATACATATCGATATACATATAGATTCACCGACTACATTTCAGCCATCCAGAGATCCTGATCTATTTGAAAATTGCTAGAATTGATATATCCATATATCATGTTTCTGCGGGCATAAGAGTTTTTTCCTTTATGTTCGGTGGAAATCACATGTTATACTATACTCCAATAAATAGATATCCGTGTTATGATACAAGTCCACGTTTTCAAAAAAAAAATGGATGAGATTGGGTCCCAGCGGATCTAAACAATCTTGTTTTTTTGAACATGAAGAAATAAAGAAGCCATTGCAATTGCCGGAAAGACTAGGCCTACTAACGGCACAAAAATAGATGGAAGGTTCAAATTTGTCATAGAAGGGGTACCTCGATTTACTATTTGTATCTGTTATTATGTTATTATATAAATAAAGATATCTTGTAATAATTATAATTAAATTAAGAATTTGAATTCTAATTAGATATTAGATAATATTTATTATTAATAGAATTTGAAGAATTTGAAATTCTTAGTATAGATCGAAGTATCGATATATCTAAATCTAACTGAGTACGTATAATAAGAATAAGTGCAAAGAATGTAGAACTGTAGAACTAAATAAATGGACTTATTCATCTCCTCCATGAGAAAGATATGTATGATAATAAACTTTATTATTTTTCTTCATTTCTTTGTCTTTTGTTCTTGTCTTCTACTTTTCTAAAAATAGATAAAGAGTTTTTTACAGATTATCGACGGATTCATTCGAATCCGACCCAACATGGATTTTTAGCTAAAATGGTTTTTCGGTAGATAGAGAAAGATACAAAACTCTATTATCTCTATTGAAATTTCAAATTATATACCTAAGACAAGACCAAATTCGTTTTATTTTACTAATTTCACGAAAGGAAGAACTCACTCTTGGTGATAAAGGTTTCTTGATTCGTAATCAGGAATATAGGTCAAAAAAAGAGTTATCCTCAACTTTCGTTTTAATTCTTTCTACAATTCGATCTTCTATCACCAAAGAAAAGGCCATTATTATCTTATTTACTTTGATTCCGATAAACTAACTACTTTTTGCTACAAACACAAAAAAAATAATTGAACTTAGTGCTCTACTTGATTTTGCTTGACTTTTGATTCAAAGGAAAAAAGGCGTGGAGCTTAAATAACTCACTCAGAACGCTTTTTAAAAGATTACGTGGTACAATTAGGTCGAATAAACCCTTCTGGAATAAGTATTCAGCTGCTTGTGAACCTTCGGGTACTGTTTTATTCAATGTTTGTTCAATTACTCTTTTACCTGCAAATGCAATGTAGGCATTGGGTTCGGCAATAATGATATCCCCCAACATACCAAAACTAGCTGTCACTCCACCAGTTGTCGGAGATGTAAGGATTGATACATAAAATAATTTTTTATTTAATTGATAATCATATAAAGCAGACGATATTTTAGCCATTTGCATCAAGCTCAAACTTCCTTCCTGCATGCGCGCCCCCCCAGAAGCACACACTATCATAAGAGGTAAATTTTGATTGGCAGCGTGTTCAATCAAACGGGTGATTTTCTCTCCGACTACGGATCCCATACTACCCCCCATAAACTGAAAATCCATAACCCCAATTGCTACGGGAATGCCGTTTAGTTGGCCTATGCCTGTTTGAACAGCCTCGGTTAATCCTGTCTTTCTTTGATAAGAATCAATACGGTCCTTATAAGGCTCCTCCTCCGAATGAAATTCAATGGGATCCAGCGAGACCATGTCTTCATCCATAGGATCCCAAGTACCCGGATCGATCAAAAGTTCAATTCTATCCGAACTACTCATTTTCAAATGATATCCACATTGTTCACAAATATTCATTTTTGATTTCAAAAATTTCTTATAATTTAATCCATAACAATTTTCGCATTGAACCCACAAATGCTTGTATTTTTGAGTTACCTCGAGATCATTAGAACTTTCTCTTATAGTTAAATCACTGTCCTTTGTGCGAGTTCGTCTACTGGAACCCTCGTTTTCACTACTATTTAGACTTTGACCACTACAAATGGCCCTATAAATGTAACTGTCACCGTTACTCTCACTACCACTTATAATGGAAGTATCTATACAGATTTGAGACTGAAGATAATTATCAATGCAACTATTAATGTGATTATTCCAACTATATTGAGTATCATACATGTAAGACATGTAAGAATTATAGTAGGGATCTTCGCCCCTAAATCCATTATTCAGATAACTCGAGTTTCGATAACTATAAAAAGAACTTTCTAGTTCACTCAGAAAAGAATGATCGTTGTCAACCTCAAAAATATGATTTTCAATATCAAAATAGATGGAATAACTGTCCCCATTCCTATCACTAACTAAAAAAGTGTCATTAGAGATGAAATTCCAAATGTCTTTAACGCCGAATAAATAATCAACATTACTGCAACTATGAATGTTTTTCACTTTTAGATTTGGATCTTCACTGGTATTTTCAATAGGACCAAGACTGCCCATTGATTTATTTAGCCCACACCTGCGTTCGAACTCCTTCTTAAACAACATCGAATTAAACCACCATCTTTCCATAGAGTTTTCTTGCCCCCTATTTGCATGAAAATACAATAGATGAATAGTCATTCGCTATAAAATTCTTTATTTGAATATCTTATTTCCTATCAGACTAAGCATAGAAATCCAATCACTAGGATTATTAACTAATACGGATTGTGAGTATTCAAAAAAAGTTCTGAATCTGGGGGAACACTTCACTATATATTAATATGTTGGAACCCCCTTTTATTATTAAAAAGAATATAAAAATAATAGAATTTTTGATAAAGGGCGGCTTCTCCTATGTCGTGTCAAATTCGCATCGAAAAAAAGAGATTTGTCCTCTCTTATAAATATAAAGAAATAAAAAAAATTCGTAAAATCTCGTCTAATACTAATATCTAATCACTAACTAATCTAACAATCTAAAATCTAATAATAAGTAATAAATTAAGGTTCTATTTCAACACGGAACAAAGGGGACAATATACAGGATGGGTAGAAAGAGTTGGAATACTTGGCTTGATTCAGGGAAACTACAAACTACAGGATAGAAAAGAATATACCAATCCTAAGGATCCGTAGGATTAATTGTGGATCCAAGACAATAATAGAAAGATTTGAGTCTTAGATTTTGATTTAGTTTTCTAGATTTTGTATTTCAAATCTTGATCAAAATATATGCAATAGAATCTTAGTTGTATTCGGCCCAATCTTTTACTAAAAGGATTGAGCCGAATTAAATTGTAATGTAATTCAATTAAGAGAACGAAGGATAATTACTTGAGTTCTTTCTCCTTATCCTTCTTTATTTCCTGCTAATTTATCTGCTAATGTCTACTGTTTTTACTTATCCAAAACGTCCACTGCTGCAAAATTAAATACGATCTCTTTCCATACCTCACAAGCAGCAGCTAGTTCCGGGCTCCATTTGCAAGCCTCGCGAATAATCTCATTACCTTCCCGAGCAAGATCACGTCCTTCATTACGAGCTTTTACACATGCTTCTAGAGCTACTCGATTAGCTACGGCACCTGGCGCATTACCCCAAGGATGTCCTAAAGTTCCTCCACCGAACTGTAGTACGGAATCATCCCCAAAGATCTCGGTCAGAGCAGGCATATGCCAAACGTGAATACCTCCTGAAGCCACAGGTAGAACACCTGGTAAAGAGACCCAATCTTGAGTGAAATAAATACCGCGACTTCTATCTTGTTCAACAAAATCATCACGCAGTAAATCAACAAAGCCCAAAGTTATGTCTCTTTCACCTTCAAGTTTACCTACTACGGTACCAGAGTGAATATGATCTCCACCAGACATACGTAACGCTTTTGCTAATACCCGGAAGTGGATACCATGATTCTTCTGTCTATCAATAACCGCATGCATTGCACGGTGGATGTGAAGAAGTAGACCATTATCTCGGCAATAATGAGCCAAGGTAGTATTTGCGGTAAATCCCCCCGTTAAGTAGTCATGCATTACGATCGGAACGCCCAATTCTCTAGCAAATACAGCTCTTTTGATCATTTCTTCGCATGTACCTGCAGTAGCATTCAAGTAATGCCCTTTGATTTCACCTGTTTCAGTCTGTGCTTTAAAAAGTGCTTCGGCACAAAATAAGAAACGATCTCTCCAACGCATAAATGGTTGTGAGTTCACGTTCTCATCATCTTTGGTAAAATCAAGTCCACCGCGAAGACATTCATAAACAGCTCTACCGTAGTTTTTTGCAGATAACCCCAATTTAGGTTTAATAGTACATCCCAACAGGGGACGACCATACTTGTTCAATTTATCTCTTTCAACTTGGATCCCATGAGGCGGACCTTGGAAAGTTTTAACATAAGCAGGAGGGATTCGCAGATCTTCCAGACGTAGAGCGCGCAGGGCTTTGAACCCAAATACGTTACCTACAATGGAAGTAAACATATTGGTAACGGAACCTTCTTCAAAAAGGTCTAAAGGGTAAGCTACATAAGCAATATATTGATCTTTTTCTCCAACAACGCGCTCGATGCGGTAGCATCGCCCTTTGTAACGATCAAGACTGGTAAGTCCATCGGTCCATACAGTTGTCCATGTACC